GAAGTTCGAAGGCTATTCATAGAGAAATGTAGTACTACGTAAAGAGCGGACACTTCCATAGGCCCCAGCGGCCCAATTCAGCGTCAGCGAGCGCACCCAGCGGCCAATATAGTCCTTAGTTGAGTGTTTATTGGATGCATACACGCAGTAACCGCTGTCCAGATGAATGAATGGATTCAAGGCGAATTCTGGCGGTATTTATGTATCGGGCAGTAGCATGCGCCCTCTATTTTAGCGAGTCAGTGTTACTGTAACAGGCATGGTTTTTGTTTAAAATAGAATTGTTTTAAAATCATACCTTAATTGTACTGCAGAAGAAAAGTCATCCGGCGCTACATATAATTCAAAGTGACCGCACACCGAAAAGGATATTTTCACATTTGTGCTAACTCTCTTGAAGGGACGACATGGGACACCAGGGATAGACACACAAAAGTATTTATTTTTGTAGCTACGACAAGCAAAACAAACATCAACTCTGAAGACAAGGAGTGATGTATGTTATTCATACATTACAAAATAACAATACACATGCAAAATGTATGAATGACGCGTACAGGTTTACACTTGAAAAAAGTACTGTATTACAGCGAGACTTACAGCCACAGATGCAATATGATGGAGGGCATTTAAAAAAAATTACCGTCCAAGTTCCATGAAAGGGGCTGCACATATGACCATGTGCTGAAAGGCGCTTGCACACATGACTGGCCCCCTTGGCTTGTAAATTCAGTGACTTTGAACTTTGAACTTTATTTCAGCAACATTATGCCGAGGACACCGGACAAAAAGCTAACAGAAGCAAGCTTGACTGGGTCCGGTGCCCTTGCATGTACAGGGAACACAATCATATTTAAACAATCCTAAATATTTCTTACAATATTCAAATCAAACAATTTAAAATGTTCCAATAAAAATTTTAAAATCACCGACATTAGAGAACATTTCTTTTTCTTAATTTAACAACACAAAAAAGTACGCAATGTTTTCTTAGTTATACAATGAATATCGATGCGGTTCAGTACAATGTTGTTAAGCAATGTAGGTAGATTATGAGCAAGAGACTGCAGTGCATAATTTGTACAGAAATGGGGAACCTTCCAGAATTCTCTACCACGAACATCGAAGACTGATTCACGCTCAGTCAGGTTTGCTAGCTGTGACAAAAAAGCAATAAACTCCAAAGTTGAAAAGGCGTAAGAAAATAGCAAACGATAGTCATAAATACAAGAAAATTTCATGATATTGTAGCTCAAATGTAATGGTTCAGCATGTGTGTCGTACGGAACATTAGCAATGAAACGAATAATTTTTTTCTGAAGAGTTGTTAGTTTGTTGACGTTACTTTTGGTCGTTGCGCCCAAAACTAAATGGCAGTAGTTGATTTGTGAGCCGAACAGAGCATGATAAATTTGAATCTTAACTTTTGTAGGCAAAAGAGAGCGACAGTGACCGATGATGCCAGCTACCTTTGCCAGTTTGTGAGTTAGAAATTCTATATGATGATCCCATTGCATAAACTCTGAAAAAATGCAAATGTCCTGAATGCAAATGTCCGCCAACAAAGAACCTACACTCACAATACTTTTTTTACATATATCGTACACCATGACCGCAACGGAAGAATGACTAGAAACCCGCACGAGACAACAAGCCCGAAACCAACTCAACCCACAAAACGAGGCAAGAGACACAGACCAAGCAGCCAAAGTATCCGCCCTCCGTCGAGTCCACGACTCCGAAGCCAATCGTCGCGCCGCAGCCATAGTCACAGCCGTTGAAGTCGTTTTTGAAAGTTTTCGAAGTTCGTAATAATTTTAAAAGTTTACTCTATACAATGAAGTCATTTATTAATAATATATATCTGACAAATGTTCAAAATAAGTGGCGCTGCTGCGCCTACTAACGGCCAGTAGAGTCCCTAACTCCTGGGCCGCGAAACGGCGTGAGTGGTCACTCCTTACTTAATTCTGTATTTCTCTATGGTCTATCTGGTGTACAATCTCAGTCGAGTCACACGGCAGAAGCATGAGAATCTCCTTCCAGAGTTTCAATGTAGAAAAGACGTTTTTATCTACTATTTTTTTCCTAGAACTGTCCGAGACTAGAATGGCCTGCCTCACAACATTACAGGCAGTGCCACCTTCGACTCGTTTGTCAGCGCCTTAGATGGAGTTTTGAATCAATTTGACTGATAATTGCCAAGTGTTACCTCTGTTTATTGGGAAGCGTCTGTTCTATATGCCTTTTACTTTTTCTCAACTATGTTTTTCAAGCCATGTATAACTGGAGCTATGCTGTTCTATATGTCACATATGTACTCACATGCCTTGGCCCACAAAAGCAGGCCGGCATTATTATTCAAATAAATAAATTAATATGCGTTCTACTTTCTATCGCCTCTTATTTGCCGATATTGTTTACGCGATACATTCTGTGTAGCCTAGAGCACTATATAGCTCCTACGGAGCAGAGTAGCGCAATCCTTTGATCCGCGTGTTTCGCCGACAACATGGCCGACAGAGCAGCTCGGCGCGAGTCACGTGGTACTCAGGGTTCCACGAGGCGGCCCGCCCTATGAGAGAATACATGGAGACCGACTCAACACGGCTGATTAAAAAATAAACGCCAAGTTCACACTTTTCAAAACTAGTCTGTCATGAAGTTGGTAGAGCACTAAACACTTTATCAAAGTTTCCATAATATTGGAAGCGTCTGAAAATCGCGAGAAGGCAATTTCCAAGGCGATGGCGTTTGAAGCAGACGATTTGTGTGCGCAGCGGAGAGGAACTTTCTGGGTTGGCCGGAGTGGGTCACGTGGACGCTGCGACGTCGCTGTGACGTCACCGCGTCGTCTGCTGCGTTATGCCGTTCAGGCAATATTTTAAAAAAAGTTACGTCCTTACATGTCTCGCAACTTAGCGCAAATTAATCTAAAATGTTCCTTCTGCTATATCGCCGTACGGCTGCGTCACCGCAACCAGGAGCGGCGCGTTCCAGCGCATGCCCGTGCCGGACATACGTCACCGGCGCGGGAGGTAAAAAGAAAGCGCTTGCCAATAAACCACGTTTTCATGTCCCGGCCACCGGCGAGTCTGGTCGACGTTTCAGTGGCGACGAGGGTAAACCGATATGGCGGCACGCCCGCCGCAGTTCGACGAGACGGCAGGCACCTATGGCACATACCGGGTCCGGTTGGAGGCGTACTTCGAGGGTCACGGTATCACGGACGCGGCGAAACGTCGCGCGTTGCTGGTGTCTTCCCTAAGTGACAACGTGGTCCGAATTCTGCAAGGCCGCTGTCAATCGGCGTCCATCAACAGCCTGTCCTACGCAGACGTGGTTGGCTACCTAGAAGAACACTACGACCCGCAAGCCAACGAGATTGCAGCTAGCTACTCGTTCTTCGTGCGGAAACAGGAAGAGGGGGAGAAAGTACAAGACTTCGTGGCAGAGTTGCGGCGGCTCGCGAAGCATTGCAAGTTCGGCGACACCCTGGACCGGATGCTGCGAGACCGAATCGTCTGCGGCATACGGGATGACGAAGCGCGACGGGTTTTGCTGACGCGTAAAAAGTTGAGCCGGGAAGAGGCGGAGGAATTCGTAATCGCGTCTGAGATGGCCGATAACAACGTCAGGGCAATGGGAACGGCCCCCCAGGACTCAGCTGGCGGTACGCATTTCGTCCAAGGTCGGCGGAGGCCCCCAAGACAAGAAAACCGGAGGCCCCCAAGACAAGAAACCAGCGGTGCGAATCCACGCGCCTGGTGCTGGAGGTGCGACGCGAACCACTCCGAGGACGACTGCCGGCACCGCAAGACCACATGCCACAGGTGCGGCACCAAGGGACATCTGGCGAGGGTGTGCAAGTACAGTCGGCCCAGCCAGCCAGGTGCGTACGCGCTGGCGGACATCAACACCGAGGAAGAGAGTGGCGAGGAAATGCTTCACGCCCTGGTGGCTCACAGTACAGCCAACAAAGACACGACGCCGCCGATAGAGCGGGATTTGCTATGGGAAGGCAGGAAGCTGCGAATGATTCTGGATACGGGCTCCCCAGTCAGCGTAATTCCCGAGAGCGCTTTCAAAAGACACCGTAAACGGTGGCCGGCCCTGGAAACGACCCCCCTACGCTTGTCGTGCTTCCTGGGGCCGCTGCCCGTTGTCGGCAAGATCACCATGAGTGTACAGTACGGACAGACGCAGGTGCGCAGCTCGTTGATTGTGGTGAACTGCCCAGGGCCGCTGCTTTGCGGTAGGAATACGCTGCGGGCGTTTTACGACGCACGGGCACCGCTTCTAGAAACTGGGGCACCGCTTGGGGTGAACATGGTGCAGGCCGGCGCAGAGGGGCAGGACCTACTGGAAGAATTTGCAGACGTTTTTGAAGAGAAGCTGGGGTGCTGCCAGGGCCCACCAGTAAAGCTGTACAGGAAGGAAGATGCGCGACCCCGTTTTTGTAAGGCGAGGCCGGTGCCCTACGCGCTTCGCGACAAGGTGTCGGCGGAAATCAACCGCCTGGAGAAGGACGGCGTGCTCTCGCCGGTCAGCGTGTCAGAATGGGCTACACCTGTTGTTCCGGTGGCAAAGAAAAACGGCGAGATACGACTGTGCGGGGATTTTAAGTTGACGGTAAATCCAGCTACACACCTGGAGCGATACCCCTTGCCCAAAATTGACGACATTTTTGCGGCGTTATATGGGGGGGAACTCTTCACCACGCTGGACTTACGCAACGCGTACAATCAGCTTCCTCTTGACGAAGAGGCTCGAAAGATGACTGTGCTGAACACGCACCAAGGATTGTACTGTTACAATCGTCTGGCCTTCGGCATTGCGTCCGCACCGGCTCTGTTTCAACGGCGCATTGAGTCCCTCCTGCAAGGGCTCCCAAGGGTGCAAGTCTACTTGGATGACATCGTCATCGCAGAAAAGAAACACGACACGTCGACACTCCGGCAGGTGCTGCAGCGGCTACGGGAAAACGGCCTGAGGTTAAACCGAGCCAAGTGCCGTATCCGGGAGAAGCAAGTGTCCTTTTTGGGCCACAGAATCGATGCCCAAGGTCTTCATCCGGAGCGGACCAACCTCGAGGCAGTGACCGAAGCTCCAAGACCGACCTCGGTAAGCCAGCTCAAGTCTTTTCTGGGGTTTGTCACTTATTACGCCAAATTTTTGCCCAACTTGTCAACCACCTTGGCCCCTTTGTATAGATTATTGGCAAAAGGAGCGCAATGGCAGTGGGACGGGGATCAGGAAAGGGCTTTCCGGAAGACTAAGCAGGCTATGGCCGAAGCTAAGTTCCTGGTTCACTACAACCCCCGGCAACAGTTACGGCTAGAATGCGACGCGTCGCCAGACGGCTTGGGTGCAGTGTTGTCACATCGCATGCATGGGAAAGACTACCCCATAGCGTTCCGGTCGAGAACGCTGACGAAGGCAGAGCGTAATTATTCACAGCTCGAGAAGGAGGCGTTGGCGCTGGTTTTTGGAGTTACCAAGTTTCGAGATTACCTGTTCGGCAACCGCTTTACGCTCGTCACAGACCACAAGCCGCTGACAGCGCTGTTCCACCCTGAAAGAGCAATTCCACAAATGGCGGCGGCTAGAGTACAGCGTTGGGCGTTACTACTCGCAGCCTACCAGTACGATCTCGAGTACCGAAAAGGAGACCACAATGGGAATGCAGACGCTCTTAGTCGTCTCCCGTTGCCGGCGCAGGAGGAGGGCAGCAGTGAAGTGCTCTCTGAATATGTGCTGTACACGCGTGGGTGGGACGACCAACCTATGTCCGCCCAGCAGATGGCCACCATGACTACGCGGGACAGCCTGCTTCGCCAAGTAAAAGCCTGGATTTACGCCGGATGGCCGTCGCACCTGCGCCCGGAGCAGCACCAGTTCCTACCGTACTTCAGCCGCAGGTATGAACTCACAGTGAGCCACGACCTGGTTTACTGGGGGCATCGCGTAGTTCTACCGGAAGCTGCGCGAGCGTTCATGCTGACGGAACTGCATGATACCCACCCGGGAATGACTGCGATGAAGCGTCTGGCTCGCTCCCTCTATTGGTATCCTGGTCTAGACAAAGATATCGAAAAACTGGTAAATAACTGCTCGACATGTATACAGTGTTGGACGATGCCCGCGGCACAGGTTCCTTCCAAGTGGCCGGAGACCCACCAACGGTGGTCCCGTTTGCACTTGGACTTCGCGGGGCCACTGGAAGGGTACATGGTTCTAGTACTAGTGGACTCGGAAACAAAGTGGATTGAAGCCATACCACTCAAAACAGCTTCGGCCGAGACTACCATTGGAGTGCTCCGAGAACTGTTTGCGCGTTTCGGAGTGCCACGAACAGTGGTTTCCGATAATGGGCCGCAATTTTCAAGTGCAGCGATGGCACGATTTTTACAAGGGAACCATATACGTCATTTCACCACTGCGCCCTACCACCCTCAGTCGAACGGGTTAGCCGAACGGGCAGTACGCACGATCAAGGAGGGGCTAAAGAAGAACAGGGAAGGCTCGTTGCAAGATCGTATTTCCAGGTTCTTGTGTCGTTACAGATCTACCCCTATGAAAGAGGGCAAGTCGCCAGCCGAGTTGTTGTTAGGCTTCAGGCCCAGGACAAGGCTAACCGGCTTCTTCCCGAGGGGCGAGGAAGCGCAGCACAGCGTGGTCGAGCCGCAAGCCCCGGCCACGACACCACCGCCATTTTCGCCAGGAATGCCGGTCTGGTCACGCCAGTTCCAGCCGAGGCGGAGATGGCTACCGGGGACTGTGGTCTCCAGTGAGGGTCGGCGCATGGTCACGCTACGCACACCGGACGGCCAACAGAGACGGCACCTGGACCAGCTGCGACCTCGAGACGCTTCAGGGTCCCCGGAAGGCGCTGACAAGGCACGTCGAGTCGCCGGCCGGTCGGAGGTGGGAGCAAGCCCGCCCAGCACCGACGAAAGAGAGGTCGCCACCAACGGCGATCCCGAGGTGGCGCCCACAGCAGACCCGGTTCCTCTCAGGCGCTCTACGCGCCTGCGGAAGCCGCCGGACCGTTTGAACTTATAGGGGGGAGGGGATGCTGTATCGCCGTACGGCTGCGTCACCGCAACCAGGAGCGGCGCGTTCCAGCGCATGCCCGTGCCGGACATACGTCACCGGCGCGGGAGGTAAAAAGAAAGCGCTTGCCAATAAACCACGTTTTCATGTCCCGGCCACCGGCGAGTCTGGTCGACGTTTCACCTTCATTATGTTAAAAACTATTGACGTTCCGTACATCCCCCCAATATTGAAGAAACAATGATTTTCTCACGTTCCCCATGCATTTTTGATGGGAGTTGGAACCCCCGCGCGTTTGCTGCTAGTCGCCGAGAGATGGCGTTCTCGATTGCGCTACTCTGCTCCGAAGGAGCTATATAGTGCTCTAGGTTAGCCTTCAGAGCTTCTGAAATAAAAACGACAAGAAGAGACGTCCCATGAGGACCTGTCTAGGCTTTTTCTTTGTTTTTAATCGGAGGGAGCCAAATTTACATACCGAAACTAAGCCACTATCGCTGCAACTCTGAGTGTATTTGGACGTTTTGTGCTTTCAAAAGCTATAAAACTGAAATGGGTCATTTGATGCAAGAAAAAACACTGAACAGGCGGCCGCCGTACAAGGTTTAAAAGTAATTTGACAGGCAAACACGTCCGTTTTTCATGGCTCATTTGGAATTTAAACGTTCCTCACCTGTTGGTGCAAAGGTACTACAAACCTCACAACTTACCCCCGCCGTGGGCACCTATGAAAGCAGGTGTTTGGAGAGTGGCGTCTCCACGGACCCCGAGCCCCGCAGGGGGCGCCTGCGCCTTAGGTGCTAGGTGCTTGGTGAGTAGCGACACCACGGACCCCAGCCACAATGGCTACATTACGGACCCTAAGTAAAAAGTGGGTAAGACCCACCCAGTCTGGCTGTGCGTGGCGAGGCCGTGTCCAGGGAAAAGGGCATCCTGCCCTTTTCCCTGGACACGAAGGTTTGCTTTAGGGTTTATGCATTCGCTTAGAATTCGTTCGGTTCCCTTGCAGCCTTCTAGAGAAGCTGTTGAAGAAATGAGATATAAACGTACTTTTGACAACAAGCCCAGTGTAATACCACCTTTTAATATGAGAAATGCATCCAAAGCAAATTCAATTGAACTGAGTAGTACAATGCCCGTCACTCCTGTTCCACAAGCAATAGCTACGTGGGACCACTGCCTCATTTCCTGTGACCTCTCACTAACGAAAATTAAAAAGAAAGAAACTCCACCAGAATACACAAAACATGATTTTTTTTAGCTTCAGAGTAGATATTCAGGACACAACTCATACTACACGGATGGTACAAAGACAGAATCGTTTGTTGGATGTGCTGTGGTCCGCCCCTCTGTTCGCTGTGTAAAGCGGATTGCGTGTACAGTCACTATCTTAACAGCAGAGTTATGCTGTCTCCGTCTTGCAGTTGATCAAATTGTAAAAACAAAGAGCAAGCAGTCAGTCGTGTACACTGATTCACTGAGTTCTCTGCATTCACTCTCATCGTTAAAGACTTCAAAAAACCGAATAATCATGAATTACAGAATAAAATTATTGATGCTTCAAGAAGGAATATTAAAATAATTTTATGTTGGGTTCTAGCCATGTTGGTATACCCGGAAATGAAGAAGCAGACCTTGCTGCAAGTTCTGCTGGTGAGCAATAAGTGGACCTGCGTGACATTCCATACAAAGATTATAGCACACTTTTAAAGCATTCTATTAGAAGGAAGTGGCAGCAAGAATGGGATGAAGAAGTTTATAACAAGCTCCATTATGTAAAACCATTGGTTAGTGAGTGGGAGAGTGCCCGACACTGTGAACGTTTCTATGAGGTTGTCTTGTGTCGACTGAGGATAGGTCATGTACACCTTACTCATGGACACCTCCTGCGCAGGGAAGAGGCCCCAGAGTGTGAGAACTGTTTTAGTCCTCTAACAGTTTTACACATTTTACTTGAATGCCCAGCGTATGACCGAGAACGTCAGAAACATTTTTCTCAGTTATATAACGAGCGTACGCCTTTACACCTTAGTATTCTACTTGGCAACGACTCACTTGTACCACAGAGTTGTGTTTTTGTCATTTTGAGAGCTATTGGTCTTTTACACCGACTATTTTATATTCAACTTCATCTCCATCAATATTTACAAGTCATATACATAGTTTTAATTCAGCACAGCTACTAAAGCTCTTTCCCCTCTGAAAGCTGTTCTGCAATAGTCTGTATCTGGCGCGTCGTAGGTGGATTTTCTGCACTCCACTCCCTTCTTTAACCCCCTGCAGGACACACACTGCGTTACTGCGCCTAAGATGCTTTTGCGCTATAAAACCCTAATCAATCAATCTCACAACTTACCTATTAAAAAAAAAAACATTTGGTCGCCTATTCTCTGTGCGATGGTGCCCTGAAGGTACCAGCGCACACAGAGAAGTGCACGCACAAATCCAGAAAAACTTAGGTTTGTCTCCTATATTCCCCTAAACGGCCGCCGTAGATATCTATACATTTTGTTTGCTGTCCTGTTTTCTCAAAGGGCCTTCCGCACAAATAATCAAACACACACTTTAGAGAAGTGCAACTTCCTAAAACATGCAGTAGTGCACAAATGAATCTGTGACTGCACAACACAGACATAAAAAAACATGAGTCGTAGGTACCTGGATAGGAAAACAAAGAAGTAGAACACACGCAAAATCCGAAAGAATCAATCTCACAAAACCAAACACATATATCCCGCAAGGAAAATGACAACATATCTGAGTAAACCAACTTACAGGAACATGTATCACAAACAAATTAAGCTTGAACTCCCGGAAACTCCTAATTTGTTGATATTGTTCAATGGAAGCAGAACTCCATGACACAACCATCACACCTAAAAAGAAAAAAAAACACTGACCCGTTTGTGCTGCATCCTGTGACCTAGAGTCACAGGCTAGAGATTTGTCGTACTGACAATTCTGTTGTCAGTCTGAACCTCTAACAAAAAAGGAGGGAATTCAAAAATAGATAAGGCTGCCGCAATTGACGACACGCTTAGCAAGCAGCATAGAAGCTGACGCCAAGACAAACTCGAGTATGAACACTACAAGCATTACACAGCGCTGCTGTTAATTTTGTTGCCTACGTGATCCATCAACTTTTGGTGGAATTTTCTTTCTAAACGAGCCGAAACCATGTAGTAGAAGGAAACAGATCAACGGGATTGTTTGCTTATCAAATTAGCTTTGAGTGCTGTACCGCAGTCTCTGTTAACAGTTTTTCGCACATAAGATTAACTGATCTCAGCATGATAGCTCTTGGAAACAATGCATGCCCAGGTGTACGAGTTCCAGCAAACATTGACTTAACTTCAATTGCTGCATTGGGCTCATATAGACAAAATAACTCCCCACCTTTTTCCGACCTTTCTCAGACTAATCCCACGCCAACACAAGCTTTGCTCGAAAGCCCCGCAAAATCCGCCTTGTGCTTGTGGCGAAGGTAAATTTTGAGCCTCAGCCGGGAGTACAGGTCTGTGAGCAGCTTGTTTGCCTTCTCCCTGTGCTGGTCACAAGTCATAAAATTGCCAGCAAACTTGAAAATCAATAATGTGGCGATTGATTTGACTGGGAATTCAAGCGTAGGAGGCACAGCGTCAGTTCATACTGAGACCACAAGTGCTCTAGAAGACACTGTTTGTATCTGCGCCTAACGTTAACGTTAAAGTATCCCATCATGATCCAAGGTCGGCGCTTGTACCAGGGCACCAACGCTAAAGCATTAAGTATAAACTGTATCCAAGCGTTTTGGCGAGCGACAAGACAGGTGACGGCGACAAGGACCCGCTGTCGCTCGGTCAGTTCCACGACGAGGCAAATTGAATGAAAGCGACAGGAGCAAGCGAACCGAGAACCGCTGCGCTGTGGCTTCACGCAAACGCTTTTATATTCTGTGCTTTGTATTTGGCGTGGGACATGTCCCAATGACCCTGTCTCACTCCACCTCATCGATAAGGCGTTCACTGAAGTGATACTTGTCGTCGAGGTTATCACCCATCGCAGCCGGTGATCAAACGAAGCTTCTCAACAATATACGACCTAAACCAGCCACGCAATCGCGCGAGCGAACCGGTACTGACGTAAAACGGAACATGTTGCGCTATTGGCTAACCGCTTCAGCTACCTCCGGGCGAAAAGCGACGTTTTCTAAAAAATCGCGTCGCTCGTCGCTCGACAAGACAGTGAGAAATTGCTGTCGCTCGTCGCTGAGCATTATCGCTTGCCACTGTCGCTCATCTGAACCGGATGTAGGCGATTTAGCGAACGACTAGACGAGCGACCGCGAGAAACGACGAGAGTCAGAGACGAAGATTTCTCGCTGTTGCTTGTCGCGTGGCTCGATCCTGGACATCTCCTGCGACGCGAAGGGCAACATTGAGAAATCTGCGTCGCTCATCTTGTGGCTCACTAAAGCTCTTTCATGCGGTTTAAAGGCACTGCCGCTTGTTCTCTCGCTAAGTTTCTGGAAGGCTGAGCCGCATGTAATCGATTCACCAAGCGACGGCGGCATAGACGAGCAACGGAGAATTTTCACTGTTGCTTGTTGCGTCGCTCGTTTTTTGCATTTTTAGAAAATGTCGTTCATCGCCATGGTCGCTTGCTCCCATCGCTTCCATACAGTTTGCCTTGTCGCACGACTGACCGAGCGACAGCCAAGCGGGTCGCCGTCGCTTGTCTCGTCGCTCGTCAAATCGCTTACATGTGGCTTACACTTTATACTCCGTGTCTCCAGTTGTGTGCAGTGCAGGCGAAGGCAATGCGTGACGTCACAGGAAATATAACGTCAATACGTGATGTCTTGTGACGTCAATACGACGTCACGTGATTTCCTCTGAGGTCAATACGTGACGTCACAGGAAAGATGGCAGCGCCCAGGCACCGGTTGGCCTTGGCGGGGCGGGTGCATTGGCCGGAGCATGTCGGATGCGTTGTTCGTTGTCATTGGTCTCAGCGAGTTTATTTCAGAAGCGGGAGCCGTCATAAATGGCCGGTCGGAAGCGACTTTAATGTTCAGCGTGGTCTCTCACGCAAGTATAACGTGGAAATACGGAGGAACGGTGTGCATTTTACTGGCTATCGAGGGGACTATTTCCGCGAGCGTGGCCGAGTAATTAACGCACTTGGCTTCTACACAAAGTGTCCCAG